TCTTTCCCTGTAGAGAATGACGTCCCGGGACCGTGTGCCCCTCTCCAAGTCCCGGGCAGAGAAGTTGCGGCCCCCCACAGTACCCATCCCTCAAGTGGATATTGTCCCAGGGCGCCTCTCTGAGTCAGAGTGGATCTCCCTGGTCAGCACCGAGGAAGGCGAAGATGGAGTGGGGGATATCCTGGCATGGATGCTAGACCAAGTGCTGGAGGAGTGCTATAAAGTGTACCTGGCTCGGCAGGTAAGCATGCCAGGGCCCTGCAGTCCCAGTGGTAGCGATCACCCAGCTCCTGGGTCCCAGCCTCAGGCTCAGGCTCAGGGCAGGGCTGTTCCCCGTAGGCTGCTCTCCAGGGCTTTGTTCCTGCCACAGAGCCTGGCTTCTGTGTGGTGGGGGGGAGGCACTGAGAACACTGTGAGAGCCCCCCGTGACAGCGGACGGAGTTCAGTCCGGAGGGACCATGCCATCGGGCTCAGAGTGGCTCTATGCTGATGCTTACTTCATGGAGAGGAAGGCAAGTGGAGCAGACCAAGAAAGGGGGCTCCAGGGAGGATGAGGTTCCTGTTGCAGTGACCTCTGTGTGTCCCCACCCCGGCTGAGTGTCCCTAGAACTCCAGGGGAAATCCCTCTGCTCCCGCAGATGTCCTCATGCTCCCGCTCTCAATGGCAGGCTGTCCGCTCCTGCCCTGGCCGTTGGCACTCAGATACCGGGGTGATGAGTGTGATACGAGCCCCTCCTGGACGTCAGCTCTCCTCTCAGCTCCGTCATGGAGGCAATAGCCTCTCCTCCGCTGGAGTGGAACTCCTTCAGCGCTCTGCAGAGCCCAGCTCCCTGCCACACGGGTTATTTTCCTACCGAGTTTACTGGGAAGGGGTGTTGGCACACTCTCCCTGGGCACAGGCCTCATGGGAGCTGCCAGCTTGGACTCCCTTAGAGCCAGTGGGCCAAAGTCAAGGTGGCCTGGACAGTGAGAAGTGTGATGGGCACACTGACGGGTGAAGGTGCAGCCTCCCTCCTAGCCCAAATCAGGAAGCAAGTGGGAGGTGCTGGGTTCATTGCGTCTCTGCTCTGCTTTCCCAGTGCATCCCATTCACCATCAGCCAGGCCCGGGACGCCATCCTGCAGATTGCCGAATGGCGCTTCCTGGCGCGGGATGAGGGGGAGGCCACTGTGGAGGAAGATGCCACTTGGCAGGAGGAGGAAGAGCCAGTGGCCTGTGTCACGGACTCATGGGCACAGGGCTCGGTCCCTGTCATCCAAACCAGTCTGACCCTGTTCTCGCAGGAGAGAGAGGTACTGAAGCACCGGGGCCCTGGACCCGGGGGGAGGGGAAGATGGGAAGCAGGCTCTCCTGAGTGCTTGTCCTGGCTGAGGCAATCTGGGCCTGGCAGCGCACTAGAGCTGCGACTGGAAACTGCCATCAATCTGACTCGTGCTCTAGGGCCAGAGCTCCACGCCACAGGGCACTCCATGGAGATACGGCCTAGCCCTGCCATATGAGTCCTGGCCGTCAGGCCACAGAAACAGCCTTGAGAGACAGGCTGTTGTCATGATCTCCGCCTGACTGCCTGGCCCCTGCTACTGGCTGGGGAAGGGATTGGAGCCATGTGCTAGTTTAAAGAGAAGCTAGATAATTTCATGGAGGCTAGGTCCACAAAAGGCTACTAGCCAGGGGATAGAATTGGTGTCCCTGGCCTCTGTTTGTCAGAGGTTGGAATGGGATGGCAGGAGACAAATCGCTTGATCATTGTCTTTGGTCCACCCTCTCTGGGGCACCTGGTGCTGGCCACTGTCGGCAGACAGGATACTGGGCTAGATGGACCTTTGGTCTGACCCAGCACGGCCGTTCTTATGTCCTCTGAGTCCCTTTAGAATCAGATAAAATAAAAAAAGAACACGTTAAAAATCACCTAGAAAAGTTAGATTCCTGCAAGTCACCAGGGCCTGATGAAATGTATCCTAGAATACTCAAGGAGCTGATAGAGGAGGTATCTGAGCCTCTAGCTGTCATCTTTGGAAAATCATGGGAGACAGGAGAGATTCCAGAGGACTAGAAAAGGGCAAATATAGTGCCATCAATGAAAAGGGAAATAAGAACAACCCAGGAAACTACAGACCAGTCAGTTTAACTTCTGTGCCAGGGAAGATAATGGAGCAAGTAATTAAGGAAATCATCTGTAAACACTTGGAAAGCGGAAAGGTGATAGGGAACAGCCAGCCTGGATTTGTAAAGAACAAATCATGTCAAACCAATCTGATCGCTTTCTTCTATCTAAAAGAACTCAAATGGAAAATTGC